CGAGAACAAGGGCCTGGCGAGTGCAAAATAGCAAGAGCAAGGGCCTAGCATGTGCAAAAAATCTAGAACAAGGGCCTAGCGTTCGCGAAATAGCAAGAGCAAGGGCCTAGCGTGTGCAAAATAAAAAGAACAAGGGTCTAGCATGTGCAAAATTGCAAGAACAAGGGCCTAGCGTGTGCAAAATAAAAAAAACAAGGGCATAGTGTGTGCAAAATAGCAAGAACAAGGGCCTAGCGTGTGCAAAATAAAAAGAACAAGGGCCTAGCATGTGCAAAATAAAAAGAACAAGGGCCAAGCGTGTGCAAAATTGCAAGAACAAGGGCCTGACGAATGCAAAAGAGCAAGAGCAAGGGCCTAGCATGTGCAAAAAATCAAGAACAAGGGCCTAGCGTTCGCGAAATAGCAAGAGCAAGGGCCTAGCGTGTGCAAAATAAAAAGAACAAGGGTCTAGCATGTGCAAAATTGCAAGAACAAGGGCCTAGCGTGTGCAAAATAAAAAGAACAAGGGCAACGCGTGTACAAAATAGCAAGAACAAGGGCCTAGCGTGTGCAAAATAAAAAGAACAAGGGCCTAGCGTGTGCAAAATAAAAAGAACAAGGTCCTAGCGTGTGCAAAATTGGAAGAACAAGGGCCTAGCGTGTGCAAAATTGCATGAACAAGGGCCTAGCGAGTGCAAAATAGCAAGAGCAAGGGCCTAGCGTGTGCAAAAAATCAAGAACAATGGCCTAGCGTTCGCGAAATAGCAAGAACAAGGGCATAGCGTGTGCCAAATAAAAAGAACAAGGGCATAGCGTGTGCAAACTAGCAAGAACAAGGGCCTAGCGTGTGCAAAATAAGAAGAACAAGGGCCTAGCGTGTGCAAAATAAAAAGAACAAGGGCCTAGCGTGTGCAAAATTGCAAGAACAAGGGCCTAGCGTGTGCAAAATTGCAAGAACAAGGGCCTAGCGAGTGCAAAATAGCAAGAGCAAGGGCCTAGCATGTGCAAAAAATCAAGACCAAGGGCCTAGCGTTCGCGAAATAGCAGCAACAAGGGCCTAGCGTGTGCAAACTAAAAAGAACAAAGGTCTAGCATGTGCAAAATTGCAAGAACAAGGGCCTAGCGTGTGCAAAATAAAAAGAACAAGGGCATAGCGTGTGCCAAATAAAACGAACAAGGACATTCCGTGTGCAAAATTAAAAGAACAAGGGCCTAGCGTGTGCAAAATAAAAAGAACAAGGGCCAAGCGTGTGCAAAATTGCGAGAACAAGGGCCTGGCGAGTGCAAAATAGCAAGAGCAAGGGCCTAGCATGTGCAAAAAATCAAGAACAAGGGCCTAGCGTTCGCGAAATAGCAAGAGCAAGGGCCTAGCGTGTGCAAAATAAAAAGAACAAGGGTCTAGCATGTGCAAAATTGCAAGAGCAAGGGCCTAGCGTGTGCAAATTAAAAGGAACAAGGGCATAGCGTGTGCAAAATAGCAAGAACAAGGGCCTAGCGTGTGCAAAATAAAAAGAACAAGGGCCTAGCGTGTGCAAAATAAAAAGAACAAGGGCCAAGCGTGTGCAAAATTGCAAGAACAAGGGCCTGGCGAGTGCAAAAGAGCAAGAGCAAGGGCCTAGCATGTGCAAAAAATCAAGAACAAGGGCCTAGCGTTCTCGAAATAGCAAGAGCAAGGGCCTAGCGTGTGCAAAATAAAAAGAACAAGGGTCTAGCATGTGCAAAATTGCAAGAACAAGGGCCTAGCGTGTGCAAAATTAAAAGAACAAGGGCATAGCGTGTGCAAAATAGCAAGAACAAGGGCCTAGCGTGTGCAAAATAAAAAGAACAAGGGCCTAGCGTGTGCAAAATAAAAAGAACAAGGTCCTAGCGTGTGCAAAATTGCAAGAACAAGGGCCTAGCGTGTGCAAAATTGCATGAACAAGGGCCTAGCGAGTGCAAAATAGCAAGAGCAAGGGCCTAGCGTGTGCAAAAAATCAAGAACAAGGGCCTAGCGTTCACGAAATAGCAAGAACAAGGGCATAGCGTGTGCAAAATAAAAAGAAAAACGGTCTAGCATGTGCAAAATTGCAAGAACAAGAGCCTAGCGTGTGCAAAATTAAAACAACAAGGGCATAGCGTGTGCAAAATAGTAAGAACAAGGGCATAGCATGTGCAAAATAAAAAGAACAAGGGCCTAGCATGTGCAAAATAAAAAGAACAAGGGCCTAGCGTGTGCAAAATAAAAAGAACAAGGGCCAAGCTTGTGCAAAATTGCAAGAACAAGGGCCTAGCGAGTGCAAAATAGCAAGGGCAAGGGCCTAGCGTGTGCAAAAAATCAAGAACACGGGCCTAGCGTTCGCGAAATAGCAAGAACAAGGGCCTAGCGTGTGCAAAATAAACAGAACAATGGTCTAGCATGTGCAAAATTGCAAGAAGAAGGGCATAGCGTGTGCCAAATAAAAAGAACAAGGGCATAGCGTGTGCAAACTAGCAAGAACAAGGGCCTAGCGTGTGCAAAATAAGAAGAACAAGGGCCTAGCGTGTGCAAAATAAAAAGAACAAGGGCCTAGCGTGTGCAAAATTGCAAGAACAAGGGCCTAGCGTGTGCAAAATTGCAAGAACAAGGGCCTAGCGAGTGCAAAATAGCAAGAGCAAGGGCCTAGCATGTGCAAAAAATCAAGAACAAGGGCCTAGCGTTCGCGAAATAGCAGCAACAAGGGCCTAGCGTGTGCAAACTAAAAACAACAAAGGTCTAGCATGTGCAAAATTGCAAGAACAAGGGCCTAGCGTGTGCAAAATAAAAAGAACAAGGTTATAGCGTGTGCCAAATAAAACGAACAAGGACATTCCGTGTGCAAAATTAAAAGAACAAGGGCCTAGCGTGTGCAAAATAAAAAGAACAAGGGCCAAGCGTGTGCAAAATTGCGAGAACAAGGGCCTGGCGAGTGCAAAATAGCAAGAGCAAGGGCCTAGCATGTGCAAACAATCAAGAAGAAGGGCCTAGCGTTCGCGAAATAGCAAGAGCAAGGGCCTAGCGTGTGCAAAATAAAAAGAACAAGGGTCTAGCATGTGCAAAATTGCAAGAACAAGGGCCTAGCGTGTGCAAAATAAAAAGAACAAGGGCATAGCGTGTGCAAAATAGCAAGAACAAGGGCCTAGCGTGTGCAAAATAAAAAGAACAAGGGCCTAGCGTGTGCAAAATAAAAAGAACAAGGGCCTAGCGTGTGCAAAATAAAAAGAACAAGGGCCTAGCGTGTGCAAAATTGCATGAACAAGGGCCTAGCGAGTGCAAAATAGCAAGAGCAAGGGCCTAGCGTGTGCAAAATAAAAAGAACAAGGGCCTAGCGTGTGCAAAATAAAAAGAACAAGGGCCAAGCGTGTGCAAAATTGCAAGAACAAGGGCCTGGCGAGTGCAAAAGAGCAAGAGCAAGGGCCTAGCATGTGCAAAAAATCAAGAACAAGGGCCTAGCGTTCTCGAAATAGCAAGAGCAAGGGCCCAGCGTGTGCAAAATAAAAAGAACAAGGGTCTAGCATGTGCAAAATTGCAAGAACAAGGGCCTAGCGTGTGCAAAATAAAAAGAACAAGGGCATAGCGTGTGCAAAATAGCAAGAACAAGGGCCTAGCGTGTGCAAAATAAAAAGAACAAGGTCCTAGCGTGTGCAAAATTGCAAGAACAAGGGCCTAGCGTGTGCAAAATTGCATGAACAAGGGCCTAGCGAGTGCAAAATAGCAAGAGCAAGGGCCTAGCGTGTGCAAAAAATCAAGAACAAGGGCCTAGCGTTCACGAAATAGCAAGAACAAGGGCATAGCGTGTGCAAAATAAAAAGAACAACTGTCTAGCGTGTGCAAAATTGCAAGAACAAGAGCCTAGCGTGTGCAAAATAAAAACAACAAGGGCATAGCGTGTGCAAAATAGTAAGAACAAGGGCCTAGCGTGTGCAAAATAAAAAGAACAAGGGCCAAGCGTGTGCAAAATTGCAAGAACAAGGGCCTAGCGAGTGCAAAATAGCAAGGGCAAGGGCCTAGCGTGTGCAAAAAAATCAAGAACACGGGCCTAGCGTTCGCGAAATAGCAAGAACAAGGGCCTAGCGTGTGCAAAATAAACAGAACAATGGTCTAGCATGTGCAAAATTGCAAGAAGAAGGGCATAGCGTGTGCCAAATAAAAAGAACAAGGGCATAGCGTGTGCAAACTAGCAAGAACAAGGGCCTAGCGTGTGCAAAATAAGAAGAACAAGGGCCTAGCGTGTGCAAAATAAAAAGAACAAGGGCCTAGCGTGTGCAAAATTGCAAGAACAAGGGCCTAGCGTGTGCAAAATTGCAAGAACAAGGGCCTAGCGAGTGCAAAATAGCAAGAGCAAGGGCCTAGCGTGTGCAAAAAATCAAGAACAAGGGCCTAGCGTTCGCGAAATAGCAGCAACAAGGGCCTAGCGTGTGCAAACTAAAAAGAACAAAGATCTAGCATGTGCAAAATTGCAAGAACAAGGGCCTAGCGTGTGCAAAATATAAAGAACAAGGGCATAGCGTGTGCAAAATAGCAAGAACAAGGGCCTAGCGTGTGCAAAATAAAAAGAACAAGGTCCTAGCGTGTGCAAAATTGCAAGAACAAGGGCCTAGCGTGTGCAAAATTGCATAAACAAGGGCCTAGCGAGTGCAAAATAGCAAGAGCAAGGGCCTAGCGTGTGCAAAAAATCAAGAACAAGGGCCTAGCGTTCACAAAATAGCAAGAACAAGGGCATAGCGTGTGCAAAATAAAAAGAACAACTGTCTAGCGTGTGCAAAATTGCAAGAACAAGAGCCTAGCGTGTGCAAAATAAAAACAACAAGGGCATAGCGTGTGCAAAATAGTAAGAACAAGGGCCTAGCGTGTGCAAAATAAAAAGAACAAGGGCCAAGCATGTGCAAAATTGCAAGAACAAGGGCCTAGCGAGTGCAAAATAGCAAGGGCAAGCGCCTAGCGTGTGCAAAAAATCAAGAACACGGGCCTAGCGTTCGCGAAATAGCAAGAACAAGGGCCTAGCGTGTGCAAAATAAACAGAACAATGGTCTAGCATGTGCAAAATTGCAAGAAGAAGGGCATAGCGTGTGCCAAATAAAAAGAACAAGGGCATAGCGTGTGCAAACTAGCAAGAACAAGGGCCTAGCGTGTGCAAAATAAGAAGAACAAGGGCCTAGCGTGTGCAAAATAAAAAGAACAAGGGCCTAGCGTGTGCAAAATTGCAAGAACAAGGGCCTAGCGTGTGCAAAATTGCAAGAACAAGGGCCTAGCGAGTGCAAAATAGCAAGAGCAAGGGCCTAGCGTGTGCAAAAAATCAAGAACAAGGGCCTAGCGTTCGCGAAATAGCAGCAACAAGGGCCTATCGTGTGCAAACTAAAAAGAACAAAGGTCTAGCATGTGCAAAATTGCAAGAACAAGGGCCTAGCGTGTGCAAAATAAAAAGAACAAGGGCATAGCGTGTGCCAAATAAAACGAACAAGGACATTCCGTGTGCAAAATTAAAAAAACAAGGGCCTAGCGTGTGCAAAATAAAAAGAACAAGGGCCAAGCGTGTGCAAAATTGCGAGAACAAGGGCCTGGCGAGTGCAAAATAGCAAGAGCAAGGGCCTAGCATGTGCAAAAAATCAATAACAAGGGCCTAGCGTTCGCGAAATAGCAAGAGCAAGGGCCTAGCGTGTGCAAAATAAAAAGAACAAGGGTCTAGCGTGTGCAAAATTGCAAGAACAAGGGCCTAGCGTGTGCAAAATAAAAAGAACAAGGGCATAGCGTGTGCAAAATAGCAAAGACAAGGGCCTAGCGTGTGCAAAATAAAAAGAACAAGGGCCTAGCGTGTGCAAAATAAAAAGAACAAGGGCCTAGCGTGTGCAAAATCCTAAACCCTAAACCCTAAACCCCGCCCTAAGTCGTGGCCTGCCCGCCGCCCTACTTCGACGGCCCCGCCGCCCTACGTCGTGGCCCGCCGCCCTACTTCGACGGCCCGCCCGCCGCCCTACGTCGCGGCCCCGCCGCCCTACGTCCCGGCCCGCCCGCCGCCCTACTTCGACGGCCCGCCCGCCGCCCTACGTCGCGGCCCCGCCGCCCTACGTCCCGGCCCGCCCGCCGCCCTACTTCGAAGGCCCGCCCGCCGCCCTACGTCGCGGCCCTGCCGCCCTCAGCTACGCGGCCCCGCCGCCTTCTGCTACGCGGCCCTGCCGCCCTCTGCTACGCGGCCCCGCCGCCCCTCGATCGCGGCCCCGCCGCCCTCTGCTACGCGGCTCCGCCGCCCTCTGCTACGCGGCCCCGCCGCCCTCTGCTACGCGGCCCCGCCGCCCTCTCCTACGCGGCACCGCCGCCCTCTGCTCCGCGGCCCCGCCGAGCCGCCCAGCAGCAGCCGAGCCGCCGCCGAGCCGCCGCCGCCTGAGCCGCCGCCCGGGCCGCCGCCGAGCCGCCGCCGCCTGCGCCGCCGAGCCGGAGCCGCCCGAGCCGCCGCCCAGCCGCCCAGCAGCAGCCGAGCCGCCGCCGAGCCGCCGCCGCCCGAGCTGCCGCTGAGCTGCGACCGAGCCGCCGCCCGAGCCGCCCGAACCGCCCGAGCCGCCCGAGCCGCCCGAGCCGCCCGAGCCGCCGTGCTGCTGTTCCTGAGCTGTGTTCTTCTGCTGCTGACCTACCCGACTCTCCCAGCCCGGTGAGACTTCCAGCTGCTGCCATGGCCACCCCCAATGTTCTCATTTTGACGCTGAGGGGAGGGCCATTGACTTTGCCGTCTGGATTGAAGACCTGCAGCTGTACTTACTGTGTGATGCGATAGATGAGGTCTCTCTTTTTGACTTTGTCTCTGGCGCTGTTCCTGCCCCACCTGCTGATGCTGACTCTGCCGTTCGCTCCAAGTGGGCGACCCGCGATGCTGCTGCACGTCTTGCTGTGCGTCGCCACCTCCCTTCCTCTGAGCGTGCCCACTTTAGTCAGTGCAAGTCCGCTCAGGCCTTGTACGACGCTGTAGTTGCACGCTACTCCTCCCCTTCCTCCGCTACCCTTAGCCGCCTCATGCTACCGTTTCTCTTCCCTGACCTCGCTTCCTTTCCCACTGTCGCTGACCTCGTTACCCACCTCCGTGCTAGTGACACCCGCTACCGCGCTGCCCTTCCTGCTGAGTTCCGCGCTGCGAACCCTCCTCCCATGTACATCACCCTCTACTTTCTCGTCACCCGTCTCCCTGAGTCCCTTCGTGTCGTTAGGGACCAGTTTCTCTCTGTCTGTCCCACCACTCTCACTGTCGACCTCCTTGAGGAGTCCCTGCTAGCGGCTGAGAAGAGTATTGTCGCTGTAGGGGCCTCTCGGGGTGACCCTCGCACCCCCATCTTTGAGGGGTGTGGTCCTTCCCCCCTGCTGCCCTCTGTCGCCTCTGCCGCTGCGGCCGACCTCACTGGTTTTGAGTCGGTCGGCGCGGCGTCTGCCCCCAGCGGCAGACGCCGCTCTGGCAAGAGCAAGGGGGGCAGGGGAGCGGGTGGAGCTCGAGGGGGCGGTGGAGGAGGCGGTGGGGGTGGCGGGGGGAGTGGGGGTGGCGGTGGGGGTGGTGGCGGGAGTGGAGGTACTGGTGGCGGCGGTGGAGGCGGAGGTGGCGGCGGAGGTGGTAGCGGAGGAGGCGGTGGGAGCGGTGGGAGCGACGGTCCTGGTGGGGGAGGTGGCGGTGGAGACGGGGGTGGCGGTGGAGGCGGGGGTGGCGGTGGAGGCGGGGGTCGGAGTGGCTCGTCCCAGCGGAGCAGCTCTGGGGGTGGTCAGCGCCAGCAGCAGCAGCAGCAACAGCAGCAGCCGCAGCAGCAGCCACAGCAGCAGCAGCGCTCTCGCACCGTCCCCGACCCTTAGCAGCTCCGTGAGTGGTACTTGCAGCGTCAGCGTGGTGGTGCGCTTGGTCCCTGCCCCTACGTTCTTCGCACAGGTGACCGTGCAGGGGAGAGGTGTGGAGGCGCCCACACAGCCCGCCGCTGCTTTGGCCGCCTGACCGACGCCTGGCGTCAGCAGTTTCCGGAGGCCGCTGAGATCCCCCGCTGGGGAGAGCTGTCTAGGGCTGGTGTAGCTATTTATGATCTTGATTTTGATGCTATTCTCTCTGCTATGTATGCTGTGACTGGTAGTGATGAGGATGACTGTTACCGGTGTTTCCCGCCCGACCCGGGCATTGGTACTGCCGCGTCAGGTACTAGTGAGGCTGCTGCTCTAGGTGCCAGTGCGTCTGTGCTCTCAGGTGCTGGTGAGTCTGCCCTCTCAGGTACTGTGTCGGCTTCGGCCTCTCACACCTTCACCCTTGACTCTGGAGCGTCTCGCTCCTTCTTTAGGGACCGCACCACTCTCACGCCGCTGAGTCGGCCGGTTGCGGTGTCCCTGGCTGACCCCTCTGGGGGGCCTGTCCTGTCTCGCTTCTCCACTGTCCTCCCGTGTCCGGCGGCCCCCTCTGGCACCCTGACTGGTCTCTACCTCCCCTCGTTCTCGACGAACTTGGTGAGTGGTGCTGACCTCCAGGATGCGGGTGTCCACCAGTTCACCCCTGCTCGTCAGCGGGTGACCCACTGCACGGAGGCGGATACAGGTCGCCACCTGGCTACGTTTACACGTCGGCCAGGGTCGAGCCTGTACACACTGACCACTGCTTCTCCTCCAGGTGCTGAGTCTGGTAGGGTCCCTTCGTCTGGTCAGGTGTTTGCTGCAGCGTCCAGGTCTGGTCCTGAGTCTGCCCCTTGCTCGTGTCGTCGTCTGTCTCACGAGACCCTCCTCTGGCACCACCGCCTTGGCCACCCCTCTCTGCTTCGGCTCAGAGGCATGGCCTCGCGAGTCCTTGTGTCTGGTCTTCCCCGGTCTCTCCCTCCCCTTCCTCCGGGCCCTGGCCCTACCTGTGTCCCCTGTGTCGAGGGGCGCCAGCGTGCTGCCCCTCACTCCTCCCAGTTTCCTCCGACAGAGGCCCCGTTGCAGACGCTTCACATGGACGTGTGGGGCCCAGCCCGCGTCCGTGGACAGGGTCAGGAGCGCTACTTCCTGCTGGTGGTTGACGACTACTCGCGTTACACCACAGTCTTCCCCTTGCGCAGCAAGGGTGAGGTCACTGCGGTGTTGATCGACTGGATCCGCGCAGCTCGTCTCCAGCTTCGGAGGAGCTTTGGCTCTGACTTCCCTGTTTTGCGTCTGCACTCGGACAGAGGCGGAGAGTTCTCCTCTGGCCTCCTGAGTGCCTACTGTCGTGCACGAGGCATCCGTCAGACCTTCACGCTTCCGGACTCACCACAGCAGAATGGGATTGCTGAGCGCCGCATTGGCATGGTCATGGACGTCGCTCGTACGTCCATGATGCATGCGGCTGCTCCCCATTTTCTGTGGCCGTTTGCGGTCAGGTACGCTGCGCACCAGATCAACCTCCACCCCAGGGTCTCTCGACCGGAGACCTCCCCAGCCCTGCTGTGGACGGGGAAGGTTGGCGATGCGTCGGCGTTCCGGGTCTGGGGATCTCGGGCGTTTGTTCGCGACCTGTCTGCGGACAAGCTGTCCCCTCGTGCTTCTCCCTGCGTCTTCCTGGGGTTCCCCCCCGACGCCCCTGGGTGGCAGTTTTACCACCCCACCTCTCGACGTGTTCTGTCCTCCCAGGACGTCACGTTCGACGAGTCGGTACCCTACTACCGCCTCTTCCCCTACCGCACTACGTCCCTCCCCCCACCCCCGCTCTTCCTGGTACCAGGTCCCCCCCCGGTAGTCCCCCTCCCCCCTCAGGGTCCTGCCCCTTCAGGTGTGTCCCAGGTAGACGCGGTCGAGCCTTTCGAGGTCACTGGTGACTCTGGTGCTGCTGCGGGAGCTGAGCCTGGGGGTGCGGAGTCTGGGGGTGCTGAGCCTGGGGGTGCTGAGCCTGGGGGTGCTGAGCCTGGGGGTGCTGAGCCTGGGGGTGCTGAGCCTGGGGGTGCTGAGCCTGGGGGTGCTGAGCCTGGGGGTGCTGAGCCTTGGGGTGCTGTGCCTAGGGGTGCTGAGCCTGGGGGTGCTGCGTCTGGGGGTGCTGAGCCTGGAGGTGCCGAGCCTGGGGGTGCTGTGCCTGGGGGTGCTGAGCCTGGGGGTGCTGTGCCTGGGGGTGCTTCGTCTCGCCGGGAGCCACTCTCCCCGCAGGAGCTGCGTGAGTGGTTTGCCAGGCGCTGGAGGTGTGCTGCTGGTGCTGGTGGTTCTTCGGCTGCAGAGGGTACTGCTGCCTCGCGTCCCGCCGGTGCTCGTACTGTGGGTGCTGGAGCTGCTGGGTCTGAGAGTTCTCCTGGAGCTGGTGCTACTGAGGGTGTTGGCGCTGAGCCTGCCGTTGGCGGTCCGACTGACAGTGCTCCTGGTGCTGCTGCTGGAGGTTCTGGAGCTTCTAGTGGTGCTGCTGGAGGTGCTGCTGGAGTGGGTACTCCTGCCGGGGCTGCTGGTACTGTTCCTGCTGTTTCTGGTGTCGCCGCGCGGCCCCGACCTTACTTCGTTCCGCTCCTGCAGCAGGTTCTTGGTCTTCCTCCTCCTCCTCCTCCTCCCTTAGAGGGTCCGCAGCCGGTCACAGCCACAGCTACAGCCTGCCTCCCCTTTGCCTGCTCCGTCTCCCTACACTGGTCCGACTGGAGGTCTTACTGAGCGTCGTGAGCCTGCGTCTCGTCCTGTGTCGCCTGTTCGTACTGAGCGCGCTAGTGGTCGCGGGTCGCGTCAGCGTCCTCCTCCTGTTCCTGGCACGCACCGGATGTCACTGCGTCCGTCCACTGCTCCTCTGCGTGCCCCTTTGCCTTCTCCTCCTGCTTCCTCTCTTCCTGCTCTTGCCGACCCGGAGTCGGACTCTCTTCGTGCTGCCAGTCCTACTGTCACGCGTCTCCTTGCTACAGCTGTCACTGACCCTTCCTTCGAGTCGTCTGCTGCGTCTGCCCTTGTCACTGAGCTTGTCGACTTTGCTGCGCGCTGTCGTCTAGACTACGCTGCCCGTCTTGTCACTGAGTCAGAGTCCGCCTGTCCTCCGTCCGTCGAGGGTGAGTGTGCCCTTGGCACGGACGTCCTTGAGGACAGGCAGGAGGAGTTCCAGTGTCTAGCCGCCGCTTCACCTCGTCTCGCGTCTGTACTGCTAGCCCCTGAGGGAGACCCGGATGCACCAGACATCCCGACTCCGCGCTCTTACGCGGAGGCGATAGAGGGTCCCTACTCCTCTCAGTGGCAGGCAGCTATGGATGCAGAGATGGCTTCCTGGAAGTCCACAGGCACCTACGTTGACGCTGTTCCCCCCCCTGGGGCGAACATCGTCAGTGGCATGTGGATTTTCAGGGTGAAGCGGCCGCCGGGTTCTCCGCCTGTCTTCAAGGCGCGTTACGTGGCTCGTGGCTTCAGTCAGCGGCAGGGGGTTGACTACTTTCAGACCTTCTCCCCCACCCCGAAGATGACCACTCTTCGGGTCCTGCTGCACGTTGCTGCTCACCGTGACTACGAGCTGCACTCTCTCGACTTCAACACAGCTTTCTTGCAGGGCAGCCTGCACGAGGAGATCTGGCTGCGTCGCCCACCTGGCTTCACTGGGTCTTTCCCTCCTGGTACCCAGTGGAGTCTCCGGCGTCCAGTCTACGGTCTCCGCCAGGCGCCACGTGAGTGGCACGACACACTGAGAACTACGCTCGCGGCACTTGGGTTTGCTCCTTCTACTGCCGACCCGTCGCTGTTTCTGCGCACCGACACCTCTCTGCCGCCGTTCTACATCCTCGTGTACGTCGACGACTTGGTCTTTGCCACAGCTGACACTGCTGGACTCGCCTACGTGAAGTCCGAGCTGCAGAAGAGACACACGTGCACTGACCTGGGTGAACTGCGCAGCTATCTTGGCTTGCAGATCACCCGGGACAGAGCACGCCGCACCATTACCCTGACTCAGTCACACATGGTGCAGCAGGTCCTTCAGCGCTTCGGCTTCACGTACTCCTCGCCTCAGGCCACTCCTCTGCCTACTCGCCACTCGCTCTCAGCTCTGCCTTCGGATGAGTCCGTAGATTCGAGTGGCCCGTATGCAGAGCTTGTTGGCTGCCTCATGTACCTGATGACCTGCACACGACCTGACCTTGCATACCCTCTTAGCATTCTCGCACGCTATGTTGCTCCTGGGAGACACCGACCAGAGCACATGGCTGCAGCGAAGAGGGTGTTGCGCTACTTGTGCAGTACGTCGGGCATGGGGCTAGTGCTTGGAGGGCGCAGTCCAGTGGTCCTCACTGGGCACGCGGACGCTTCTTGGGCTGACGACCAGGCTACGCAGCGGTCGTCACAGGGTTACACCTTCAGCCTTGGTTCCGGCTCTGTTTCGTGGCGGGCTACCCGCTCGTCTTCTGTTCTCGGCTCCAGTTGTGAGGCTGAGATCTACGCCGGGGCTATGGCTGCACAGGAGTTACGCTAGCTCACCTACCTGTTGACCGACCTTGGAGAGCAGCCTCGTTCTCCTCCAGTCCTGTACGTAGACAACAAGGCCATGCTGGCCTTGTGTCGAGAGCAGAGACTGGAGCACAGAACGAAGCACATTGCTCTCCGCTACTTTCTTGCTCGTGAGCTACAGCAGCGTGGATAGTTGCGACTTGCGTACGTGGCCTCTGAGGCCAACACTGCTGATGTCTTCACCAAGGCACTTGCGCCTTGTGATCATCAGCGTTGTTGCACGCAGTTGGGTCTTGTGCCTGTCTTGCCTCACTTGCTCTCCTCTTGACCTTGCTTGTACCTTCGCCTATATATACTCTTGCTCTTGCTTACTTGACTCTTGTATATCTCTATATATGATCTTGCATGTGAACTGGCCATGTGGCCTTGAACTTGTGCTCGGAATGTGTGGTGACTTTGTGATCCACCCTGAGCTTTGC